ATTTCAGGTTTTAGCTCGTTTGATTCATTTGCCAGATGAACCAAATTTCCAAATACCCTTTTTGCTCACTATGAGTTTCTGGTAATGAAGTAGGGAGTTATGGCATTTGATTTTCTTTCCATTAGAGCGCCATTTGTTTATGCCAGGTTGGCGTATAAAGTTAATACCCAGAGTAGCAAGTACGTTAGTGACCAGCACTATTATAAATTCGACAGGAATTATAGGTCGATTTATGCTGCACCTAGTACCAGTTTTTCCGTCTGTTATCATTGATTGTTTGTTTATACCTAGGCTTTCCTTATGCACTTTTACTAATTCTTTCCAGGCGTTTTGCCATTATAAAGTCTTGTATTATCACATTGACTTCAGCGCCTGTATCAATGACCACATTCCTTACTATATCTCCTACCTCCTACCATCAGTTCTAAGAGTCCGTTTCGCATAGCGTTACGTCCCTGAATCTTGAATAGTAGAGGTTCACTACCTTGCTCTTTCACCCCTCTACAGGAAGAGCTTAGCAGTTTTTTGGAGTAGGTTTGGTCGGGCAATTCTTGGAAAAAATGCCCTTCCTCACCACAAGTATAACATTTGTCTCTTAGTCTTTTAGCAAGGTGGCCGTTTCTTCCGCACCAATGACAATTCATTCTTGGCGGGACTCTTTGATTATTAAAGTTTCTATCATTGAGACTTTTATCTCCTGCATTGAAATTTCTTCTAGTATGTCCCTAATTATCAACTGGAATTCTCCAGTCATTAGGACTTGAATATTACCGACAGAGGTAATTGTTTGTTGCAATTCTTTGAGCTGTTCGGTCATTGCTACCATAGCTCGTTTTGTTTCTTTACCATCGTCTCTTGAATCATACATTCTTGGTGGGTGAATTAATCTCCCTGTCGAGTCAATTGTTGGTCTTGGACTTTATCGCTACCCAAACTCATAAGATCGAATATTTGAATCGTGAGGAGACGTATCCAATGTTAGAGTAGGCATTGGTATTTTTTCGGATGCGTAAGTTTTTGGAGTAGGCGTACTCAGAACGGAAAGGCTTATGGTATCATCTTCCTCTATCTGTATAGTAGGAGAATCTATTACGTATGTCGGAGTATTATCTCCTTCATCGCCCGTATTTGCTTGCGTAGACATTGGATAAATTATGTCCACTCTTTGCTCGTTCTATCCGGCCACTTTTTGATTAATTTCTTCAGGATTCACCATCGGAATTTTGCCATGCATGTAATGCAGTCAAAACGATATGTTTCTTGAGGTGCGATCCTCGGAGTAGCCGAAATGGAAAATGAACAAAATTTGTCTATCTCCCTAGAGATTTGTACAT